ATGTTGTATTGTGTCAAGATGTGTTCATTTGGATCACTTCTGTTTGCTTTCTGTTATGTGCCAAATATCAGTCATTTTGTAAATTAAACATAATTCTAAGATATGCATAATTTTCTGTTTTTCTCAGGTTGCTGCAGGCCGTGAGTGGTACATTCACACCATTTATACAGTCCGCTCCAAAGAGAATGCCAACAGAGGCATTGGAAAGCGCAGCCTGGAGTACCACTCCTTGGTTTCCACAAGCAACAATCTCGCCTTGACCCCATCAGGTCATCGCTCCAGGAGGTCAGCTGGCAATGACATCCCAGAGATCGCTGAGGATATTGGAGCAGACAACAACCGTGGTACCAATATTATGCACATCGCTTTGGACCGCACCAAGCGAGCAGGGGGGTCTAATGAACTCTTTACCAATGGGCTGGCACCTAGTGAGCTGAACGCAGCTGAGGAAGAAAAGGGGCTGGTGACTGTGGTGGGAGCACTGGTGGGGCTGCTGCTGACTGTCCTTGTTATTGTCACCATCGTTCTGGTCCTGAGATCCAGACAAAAGGATGGAAAAGAGGGATGGGAGGGGGTGCAGGAGGTGGTGAAAGGGTCTGTCAGTACGGAGCCCATGCTGGTGGTGAGGATGCAAGACTGCCACAACAGCTCAGAGGTCTGAGCAATGGATATGTAGATGGACAGATGGACAAAGGGATAAAGAGTATGTGGGGGCTTTTCTAAAATTTTGGATTTTCTTTTTTTTTAAACTGGTATTATATTACTTTCATAACACCAAACATCAGAAATTAATCATATGCATTATTTGGTGTGTTCACCTGTTAGTGGGGGGATTTCTACGGTATTGGATCCATTTACATACCTTGATCACTGCAACAGAAAATGGCACGACAGTCCTGTACGCTGTCATCAGTAAACATTCCAACTAGGGCTGCTAGTAGCATGGTTTCTCCTTTCCCTCTTACTGGCTTTATGGTGTTAAAGTGCCTGAAGCAGCTATATCCCTTGAGGACAGTCCCTGTTACGGAGAGCACTTTTCTCATAAAGCTAGTGTCACACAGGCCAAGTCAGAGATTTATTGCTGCAGGTGTACCTTGGGTAAAGGGGACTAGATGATGTCAACGTTCATACTGAAAGGAATAGTTCATCTCAAAGAGAACACTCAGATGTTATCTACCTGCCCCTGTGTCAGTCAAAACTTCACTGAAGTTTGTAAGCTCTGGTACTTTTGTGTGTCTCCCAAAGTGTAAATGGTAACAAGACCATCCTTCCCACAACTTGCAAAAGACAAACTATATTTTGGCACACATATTGTGCAGCATATTCCAAGTATTTAGTAAAAAAACCAGTCCATTGAAGTCCAGTATAATATCACCTACTGTCCATCCTTTGCCAGGGGATCATATCATTTAGGAAAATATTGGCAATTGAAAAGTAAATATTGGAGTTATTATAAATATTAAACCCATAGTGTTTGGCCACAAACCATTTAAGACTATGCTGCATTAGGTAGATTGATATCCATTCTGGGGTAAACTGTGCCTTTAGGCCTACGATTCTGTCCTGAAATGGTTGCTGGGACAGTCATTCTGGATTACACAATGTGTAATGAAAAACACAAGATGCCACCACTTGTTACTTATCTGTGAACTCACCCTGCAGCACTCTCTTAGGAGATGAACACCACTGCTGTCAGAATTTTTGTTAATTAACCACCTAATCATTTTTTAATTCACTATGTCTACTGTTCTTTATTTTGTTTGCCATATGATGAGGAATGCTTTCCTAGATGTATTGAGCATTTCTGTTGCTGATGAGTTGAGTTGTTCCCATTGTTTGTTTTTTTTCTCATACGGTACTGTTTGTATTTTTGTAAACCCAGTAATTTACTTTGTTATGTGTTTATAGCTCATCACTGCTTCTGTTACCACAATGTTTACTGCTATCCACCCTTGCAGTGTTGTTGCTCCACTGTGTGTTTCTGTGATATTGTCATATTTATTCAAAATACTTTGGGCATAATGTTTCTTCTTTTTTTTTTAAACACTGGTTAAGGTACCTAATGTATAAAGACACTCATCTCAGGAGTTATTTCTTTTACAGAGAATGGACTGTGTGTTGTAACACAATTTACTACTGTTGACTGAAGAGAATCTCTACAGAGATTTCCACCTCTGTGTTACACTGCTAATAAGTGTGGTGCTGTGAACATGCAAATATTGTATCCATATCCAATGATGTGACCCCTATTCTTCTCACATTATGTTCCCGTAAGGTTTATTTGTCACTAGTGCTGTGTGGGATTTCAGTGTTCTGAGTCATGTTTTTCCAACGAAGGATGCAAACAAAATAGCTGCTTACAAATCAGTATGTCACCATGACAAATTTTGTGTTTGAGACATTTGATATAATCTGCTGTCTCATTATCTTGTTGATATCACTGGTGAAAATTCTTGTTTACATGTGTTGTTAAACCTGTGTCTTACTCTGCTATGGATATACAACATGCTGAGATCAGTGTTTCTAAATATTTGTCTTATTATGGTGTTGTCATTCATCATTGTATAATTATTTCCAATATTTATCAGGGCTAGCTAATGTGATGTGAATATGAGCCGGAAATCAGCTGAGGTGTGTCACAGAGGTTTATACAACTAATAGTCTGCTGAAACCAGGCTGTGATTTTTTTTTTTTTGGCCCTGGTGAATTCGGAAATAACACCATGTTTGACATCAAATGCACTTTTTGAGTCACATCCCTCACATGCCAATCCAAGCTATGCAATGCAGTGTATACCCCACAGCCAGTTATCCCCATGTATATGACAATTTTAGCACAATCAAACTTGATATTCAGTTTGTGTCTTTTTATGAATGGGTTTTTATGTATGTATTTAAGAATAAATATTGTTGCTTACCGGTTGTTGTTGATTTACTCGGTATTTATGCAGATATGTTGAAATTTGAGACATCACTTAATTCAGACTGGATTGGACTTAACTGCTTTAAGAGTGAGCATACTTGAGACTTTACTCCTTAAAGATTTGACTTGACTTGAGACTGGAAAGCAAAAAACATTGAAATGTCATGTTTTGACCTGTTAAAGTCTCGGACAAATGAAAAATAAATAATGCACAGGCATAGCAAAACAAACAATTGTGCCTATTGAAAGCACATCATCTCAGCTAGAAAACAGTATGTATGTATATATAGCTATATAATATTTTAATGGTTAGAATTCAGAGATCTGTTAAACTTCCAATTGATTAGCAGTTTGCCCTCAAGGACTTGAGACCTGGTTTGGTTGGCTAAGAGTTTAGACTTGAAATAGACTTGTCTCAATGGTTACCTGACTTGGACTTGTCCCTAACAAGTTAAAAACAGCTCAGTTTATATGTACGACTCACAAAAGGGGCAAATGTGGCTCACGGGGTAGAGCGGCCGTCCACTGTGGTTCGATCCCCGGCTCCCCCCAGTCTGCATGTCGAAGTATCCTTGGGCAAGATACTGAACCCCAAATTGCTCCCTGTGAATGTGTAATTCTGCTTCCGATGGCAGAGGCACCTTAGCCTCTCTCCATCAGTGTATGAATGCATGTGAAAGGGGTGAATGTGATGTAGTGTGAAACGCTTCGAGCGGTTGGAAAGACTAGAGGGCTCTATACAAAGTACAGACCATTTACCAAGCACACATTTTAAAAGTTCATTCATTAGCAAATTATAATCAGTTAAGGTGATTATGTGGTTACAGTGGGTCCCCAGCAATTGACCCTTCGCTAAGCCACGCCCCGAATACGCAGCTGGCCAATCACAGCGCAGTATAGGACTCGCTCTAACTGAGGTCCACCACTTTCATGTCTGCACTCCATTGACTCTAATGCAAAAAAAGAGTCGTTTTCTATCTTTTCTTTGCTGTATTTTTCCAAGATATGGTCAAACGCTGTTCCTGGGGCACTTGTAATAGTTACAGTTGCTACCCAGAGAGGTTGAAAGGACAAGTATGATTTATTCCCTTTCCAAAACCTAAAACAAATCCAGAAAAAATGTAGGCTGTGCATTGTTCCTAATTTAATGTTAGTTAACTAACGCTAGCTAACTTACTACTGAATGTAATGTTATAAAGCCCTACTGTTCTGCTTTTTAATGATTGTAATAGTGAACAGAGATACCCAGCTGTACACAAACAGTGTTGATCCTTAATTTAGTAGTCCTGTTTCTCAATAGTCAGGTAATAAAATGGTTCACTTTTACACTGTGATCGGTAGGCTTAAGCTTCTGTCTTTGTTTTTTTCACGTCTGTTTGACAGCCTGAATACAACCTTCAAATGCAGAATGCAACTGCAAAACTGTCTGCTTCTTTCTGAGATCGCTTTTTCCAAAACTTAGACAATATTTCTCTGTTATAGACAGTGGCAGTGCCGTGATAAAAGTCTGACAGCTACGACAGTTTGTCGGTCTTAGCAACAGTAACTAAGGGGGGCGTGGCTTAGCTAAGGGTCAATTGGGTGAATAGTTTATTTTCACTATTATTCCATCCATCCTAACACAAAGACAAAATATATGACTATTTTGGTCATAGTTTTCATAAACTTTTTGTAATAAAATATCTGAAAGCAAAAATGCAGATGGGGACCATGGGACAAAATCTTATCATATGGGGGTCCTGGTCTAATTTGTGTCAGTTCAGGGGTCCTTGATGTGAAAAGGTTTAAGAACCACTGCCCTACCCCATGCCAGTAGCATCTCCAAATAACACCAAAAGTTTTATTTTATTATACTCCCCTCACCGGACAGTGGCCTTAGAAGTGAGAAGTGTCAGTTTTCACGGAATACCGCGGTAGTTGCACAAACACATACACGGAGAGACAGAGAGAGAGAAGGAGAGAGAGACAGAGAGAGAGAGAGAGAGAGAGAGAGAGAGGGGGGGGGGGGGAGTATCTGATTGGTTAATTGATTGGAAATGACGCACCACAAATGTGCCCTCTTCCCTCCCTCCTTTTCCTTCACTTCCTGCAGTAGCACTGTTGTGCTTCTTTTGGCTGATAAACATGGCTACTGCTGGAGCAGCTGGAGACGACCTGAGGAAAGAGCTCACATGTGCAATTTGTTTGGACTTCTTCAAAGACCCTGTCATACTGAAATGCGGACACAATTTCTGTCGGTTTTGCATCTGCATGCACTGGGATGAAAATGGCGGAGACTACGGGTACCAGTGCCCTCAATGCCGAACGGTAGCGTTAAGTTAACATTAACGTTAGTTCATACACGTTATCTGTAGCGGTATTTTGTACCGTGTTTTTCTTTCTCCAAACAATTTTTGGTACGCTTGTGACAGTATTACGTCCCAGTGTTTATCAGCAAATTTAGTGTAGCTGGTTGACAGCTGTTTTTGGATAAGTGACATTAAGTAACGTTAACGTTACGCGGTGCATTTCGTGGCTAACGTTACCGTTGTTATGGCAGCGGGCTAGCTAATGCTAAATTATCAGTTAGAAGACACGAATGAAAACAAACTTAACGTTAGCTATTAAGGAGCTTCAGAATAAATAACATTACTACACATATTTTACACACTGTAAAAACTTAGTTTAAGCTTTGGTACAAGCTGGTTTCTGCGTATTTCTCAGTTGCTCTGTTTGTTTTCCCAGGTGTTCAACAAGAGGAGCTTCACTAAAAACTACCTGGTGCAGAACCTGGTGGCCAAACTGGACGATCTGGAGTGCCTAGGGTCTTGTCCTACACCCTCTAAGCCCGTCAAAGTAGATGGAAAGTGTGAACAACACGGAGAAGAGCTGAAATTATACTGCCAGACTGATAAGAGGCCCATCTGTGTAGTATGCAGGGAGTCTAGAGCACACAGGTTGGTCGTGTTCTCAACTTTTTAATATGGGGATATTATGGTGTGTGTGTGTGGTTGTTGTTGTTGTTGTTGTTTGTTTTTTGTGATTTTTTTCTTTTTGTTTGCTCTGAAAATTAAATCCCACCTGCCTTTATCAGGCCATAGCTTTATCATGAACATACCGTGTACTAAGTTCCACCCTATTTGCTAGCGTAATCTGTGCTTTTGATCTGTTTAGGTCCGTTTTGTTTACATCTGTTTTACAGCACATTATTGTCCCTTTTACTCTCTCAGGGTTTGGTGATGTTCTACCAGCCACACTCTGAAATACTAGTGATAAATATTATACTTTACTTAGCTTATTAATAAATCAGTGTCTCTTGCCTTGCCCCACACGATGCGTGTTGCTCCATTGATGACTTTGATGTCCCCGTGGTTCCCTGTAATTTACCAACTCTCTTATCTGTGCCTGCTGGCCTCAAAATTTCAACAGTGTATTACCACATTGTGCCTTTTTAGTTTGTTGTATTTTTAAACCGTTGTAATAAGCTTCCAGTTTAATGACAGTTGAGAATTTGAAGGTATTGGCCAAATTCTAATGTGAAATTAGTAAATTCAGCTGAAAGTTAATGGCGTTTTTCTGTCTATTTTAAAAACCAGAAGGGAGGAATTTGTTAAATGTATTGGTTTTGTAGTGGTGCCAGCTGCTGTTAATCAGACAGACATGTTTTTATTAACAATATATCTTAAACACATTGACATTGTTTTTGACTACAAAAATGACCAAATATGCTTTCAGTTGGACTTTGAATGACTGGATTATAATTTTGACTTCAAGAATTTAGAATTGTCCTTGTTTAAAATTAACTGTATAAATCAATACCATTCATAATGAAAAGAGTGGACTACAGACCTAAAAGTTTTAAGTCTGTTTACTGTTATTTGTCTGTGAAAATGTACTATAACAGACAACTTCAACCCGTTTGAATTAGTAATGTACACTGTTATCGACAGTGTCTTTTGCTTTTGATCATTATGTTTAAGAAACATGTACTTGACTGCATTCCTTTACAATCTCAGCCAGCGAATATTTCTGTCTGTGTTTGGGTGAAGAAAGTGGTAAAGGGAAAAACGGATCCAAACAGTAGTGCTATCTTCCATTGCAGAGGACATTTGATACGACTGCACAAATTCACATGGACAATCCAAGCACTTTAACAAATGTCAGGGTTGGTGATATCTTGTCGAGGGTGATTAAATTGCTAAGCAACGGGGCTGTGTGCATCTTTTTTTCAATGTGAATGGAAGTAAGATTTCATCAAGCATACAGTCAGTTTGTTGAAATGCATCTTTGGGAAATTACTCCTGTGTTTTTGTTTTTTGTGTGGGTTTTTTTTTCTTCTTAAAAGGTTCTCTGTGGAGTTTTTGACCAATGAATTGTGAATGTGATGTCACGTGAAAACTATGAATTTCATAGCTTTCAAGTGACGTCACATTCCAAGGAAAACACTCCCTTGGAGGGCCAAAAAAGATGTTTGTTTTTCTTCGCTGCCTGCCAACCAGGAAGCAAGTGATACAATGTTAATTTGAGTTTGTTACTTTTGCGTTGCAAAAATGCTGGATGGTTGTGCTTTTGGATGCACTAATTGAGGAGGAGACAAGCCTGAGCTGTGTTAGGTGAGGGATTCCCTAGAAGGTAAAAGTAAAAGTAAAAGTAAAAGTAAGTAAAAGTAAAAGTAAATTATCGCAGTCGCAGCGGTTATTAACAGTAGAAATGCGGCAGTGGATGCTGTAATATTATATGGATCGAATATGCCCAACACTTGCAGTTTGTGTTCATTTCTATTTCTTAAGTTGAAAGGTGATCCAAATATTGTTGTTTGCCCTCCGGGTCACCGCGCATGTCACGTGACTGAAAACTATGAATTGTGCTATAGAGCAATGTGGGTCCCCATTTTGTTTGTATTAACATCTTGTGAAAAAGACTTTATTTTTGGTTTGTTTAAAATGTTTTGAGGAAGGAAATGCACTTCAACACTTTTTGATAGACTTTAAGGATACACATGTGGTTTGGTATGAAACACTGAATGTCAACACTACTTCTTTATTTACAAGTGAACTCCACCTGACACTGTTTGCCTGGTCATTTGTTTTGTCATTTCAGACATCATGAGGTAGCACCAGTGCCTGAGGTTGTGAATGACATGAAGGTATGTATGAATTTGCTATGATGTATTATCTTCTGTGATGATGATGATTCATTATGTCCTATTTTCCTGTGTGCATGTGTCGTGATGTACGTGTTTGTTACAGATGGAACTGAAACTGAGGCTAATGGAGCTCAACTGGCAGAAGTCTCAATGTGTAAAGATTATGACGGCTGATGAACGCACTAAAAGTGAAGTGAGGGTATGGAATGGACCTTTTTTGTTTTTATGCACATTTTTTGCTGGTATCATACATGTTGTTTTGGTTCAAGTGAGGGGTGTGCAATATGTACGATAATGATCGTTTTGATGATGTGTAAGCAGACATTATCGAGTAGGCTATGTCAGTTACTTTACAAAAAACACCTTGTCCATGCATTCACTGTCATGCATGCAGTACACGTGCTAGAGTTAAACAAGCATAAGCTCATGACTCTGCTTTAGTCTTAAGAAGCTGCAATCTTTATTCACTGGCCATTGTAACCTACACTGTACATTACTGCTAAACTATGGGCTTATTGCTGACCCATTGCTCTCTGTCTGCCGCCATTCACCGGGTGGCTAACCCATAACGCACTCTTTTTTTTTTTTTTTTTTTTTTTTTTTTTCATCTCTTCCTCCTCTGCTATGCTTTACTGCCTACGTTACTTTTAAAAACACATTTTTGAAGAATGCCAAATATTGTCCCAGAAAATATCTAGAGAATTTTTGTTAATATAGCACACCTTTAGACCAAGTGGTCTTTCAAGATTACAACTTTCTCTAACTTACCAATTTTATCAGTTCAGTTAAATGCAATATTGCAAACCAGCCAGGAAGCCTAATAAATGGATATGAAGTACTTGAGTGAATAAACATTACAGTACACCTTGCACTGAAATGGTAGTTAACACCTAACTCATCCATCATCCTGATCCTCTGAACCCCTCTCTGTCCTCCAGGTGAAGAAACAGAGGCTCAAGGAGAAGATTGAAGCGGATGTCGGTGCCTTGGTCCAATTCTTGCTAGATGAGAGAGACTCCCTGCTTGAGAGCCTGGATGCTGAGGAAGTGGCCACGATGGCCGTCATAGACGACAACTTGAAGACCGTGGAGACGGAGGCGGCAGTTGTGGACAAAGCTATAGCTACTATCCACAGCCACATTAGTGGGAAAACTAGCTTTGAGGTCAGTCTAACATATCAGCCCTCTGATTCACAGGTGATTTAACTCTTAAATCGCCATGCCTATGTTAGAGCTTCGCAGTTGAGATGGGACAGTGTTTTACATAATCTTTATTGCACACTGACGTGAACTGAGAAATGACTAAGAAATACTGCACTGAATTTATTTTTAAAAATATATCCCTGAAGTGTTAGATGAGAACATGAGGTGCATTTCTTAGTGTTTTAAATTGCACATTAAACCAGCCTCTGACTATAAACGAAATTCTCTTGAGACTAAAAGATACGAGGTGTGTTCAATAGTAATTATCAAAATATGTCTTTTTGTTCTTTCAACAGAGTCTTGCTCAGACATTTAACGAGTAAGTAACTTACAGTTGTTGTTTGTTTGTTTTTTTTTTTTCAAATATGGACCTATAAATATCCAATTTAAAATGTACCCTTTGTTTAATCTATATTTTTTTTTTTTTTTTTTTTTTTCCTTCCCAGAGTCATTCATTGCAAGCCTTTCACATCTCTTGAGACTGTTAATTGTCAGACTGAATTTACAGACTTCTCAGGGCCCTTCCAGCTTATCATGTGGAAGAAGATGATGCACGTGCTGCATACCAGTAAGCTTACTCTACGCACAGAATCATGCACTGAGCACAGTCAAAAGTGTTATTTGTAGTATTTGAAGTCTAGGACTGGCAGTATACAGACAAGTTATTCAAATGTATTTATCTTAATTACATTTAATGTGGGCGGCATAGTGAGAACCAGCTTCACAGGCTCAAGGTTAAGTAGCTCTCAATGTACTGACACATGGAACAATTTACAGGAAGCTAGAAATAGCCATGCAGCTAAAAAAAAGCACAACAAAGTTGTACAAAGAGCTAAAAGGTAAAAATAAACACAAAACTATTATGTTCATACAAATAGGTGAAAAATATGTGCATAACTGTTTAAAAAAACAACAACAAATGCCTAAAAAAAGGAAACGATGACCAACAACATACAATGTCTAGGAGCCTTGTCTTTGATCTCACATTCATGACCTTGTTGTCTGGCTGGCTTTAGCCATCGTGTTGGTAGGCTATATCGCTACATATCCTAGTTATCGCAAAATGTCACGGCAGTTCAGGGTCTGAAGTTTCTTTTAGAAAGCCCAATAATTGTTTGATGGTTGACGAGGTGAAAAACAGAGGAATTGGTACGATGGTGAAGACGAGCAAGTAATACTGATAATGTCCGTCAGCCACCGCGGGAAGCAGGTTGCAGCAAGGAGGTAAAAATCATTCATCTGCTTTATGTAGGTGATATGAAAAGTGGATTTTAAAGGAAATTAAAATGACAGATTATGATGGAATTGTTACGTCTCTGTCAAATTGATAGACAACAAGATGGTCTATCACACCATCTGATGTACACTACATGACTCACTATATACAGTGATCAGGATTTATAGTTGGGTAATATATACATGCTAGAACAATATATTAAATTGTGAATGTCATTAATAACATAGGTTAGTGGATGTTACAGTGTTGTCCTCAAGTCCATCTCCATAGTTTGGAGCATGTTCAGCACAGGCCAAAGAAGAGCAGTTTAATTGTTCATAGACATCAATGATTGTCTATGTGTCAGACAACCTTGCAAAGGATAAATTGGTATAGATAATGGATGAATTTATTGTGCTCTCAAAACTATTGATTATGATGCTGTGTGCAAAAGCAAGTGTACTGTTGTGTTTGTGTAGTAAAGGAAATATTTCTTCCCATGTTTTATGCGTCTTTTACAGCTTTTACGTCGTACTGTGCCATTGCAATAGAGGCAAAACGCCCTCATAAAAGGGATATTTCAAGACCATATGACAGAAAACAAAGGAGTAGTAGCTGAAGAAATTCTAAATCCTAATGTTTTTGTTTGTTTTTAGCAAGATGATGATTAAAAAATATTATAAATGGCAAGTGTTCTTCGAGTGTTTGAAAGGACACAACTGCCTCATTGAAGGTCTGATTATGCATATTACGCAACACAGACTACATTCTACATATTGAATTGTAAGCTTGTTTGCATGTAGTATTTAGTATGACAATTTGGATATAGCTATTGGTTATACTAAAATTAAAGATGCGAAGCAAACCAAAAACATGCAACCATAGGACATGACAGAGGTTGGTTTCACTGTATTTGAAAATAATGTAAGTTGTTGGCCTACTTCCACTGCAGCAATGAATGCCAATTGTTTCTGGTTTGTAAATCTGCCAGTTTTCTTGGATGAAAAACATAACATTTTTCCAAATGTACTAATCTCTACCTATCTCTTTCTGCGTAGTGCCTCAGAACCTCACCTTAGACCCAGACACTGCTCACCCGAACCTGCTTATCTCAGACTTTGACACAAAAGTGGAAGAGGGCCGTGTTCGTAACCAGGAGCCAGACCTGCCAGCCCGCTTCACCCGGTTCTGTGGTGTTCTTGCCACAGCCCAGTACGCCAGCGGCCAGCATTACTGGGAGGTGGATGTGAAGGACAAAGGTGTGTGGTACCTGGGAGTCACCACTGAGTGCAGCAACAGGAAGGGCTTCGTCAGCCTCACTCCCTCTGCGGGATACTGGAGCCTTTGTCTGCAGGACCGGCTGTATGCCAACGGAGAAGATGGGCGCATCCCAGTCGCTGACTACTGGAACTCTCCTCGGGTCGGTGTGTACCTGGACTATGACAACGGGCGTCTTAGTTTCTATGACGCCGTCACAATGAAGAGACTTTTCATGTTTGACACCTGCTTTGAGGAGCCTGTCTATCCTTTCTTCAGCCCAGGGAAGAATGATCCAGGCAGCAGGCTGCAGATATGCCACTATTACTAAGAGCTGTGATGAGTGTTTTGAATTTAGTTATCTAAGAGTAAACTCATGTATGCCAGTGTTGTCAGATTTGCTATTAGCAAGGTTTTACTCACAGACTAGGCTGAGGTGACAGGGTGATGTTGACCCTTGGAGCCATGTACTGTGTGCATTTGAGCTTTTACTTGTTGGTCGTACTGGTGTTAGAAAATAAGGGTTACACAGAATATGAAGTACCAGGTGTCTCATCAGACTTTGGTTGTTATGAAGAGCGTAATGTTGCTCATTTTTTGAGGTATAACATTTGAAATTTGGACACAAACTGTAAGCTTTATACCCCTGACTGCTGAGAAGGGGGTTTGGAGACGTGCTTTGCTGTCTATCACTGTGTCTGCTGGGATGCAGATGCCTCAGATGCTCTTGTTAATTAGAGCATAACAAGTTCTTATCCCACTGGCAACCGCTATGCCATAAAACTGTACATTAACACATATCGGCTACATTTTGGCCAGGCAGGGTCAGTGCTGTTACCTTGTTAGGTAGAACTTGTAGGACACGTTGCAAAGTTATCACATTGATCGTTGTTAAGATTCCCTACTTCTACACTGAAGAACAATCAGTCAGTACTAAATATAATAGAATTATTCACTCAACTTGGCCAACTTGTACTGGGATTTCACCTCTCAGACAATGGTTAGGCTTCCAGGAACAAACGGCCCAGGTTGGTTGTTTTGTAGTCGTTAACGTCAGTACAGTTAATTTTGTCATTCTCTCGGGGGTCACATTTTACTTTTATCTGGGAAGTGATACGGAAGGAAAGTCATGCTACTTTGTTTTGTTAAAATCTGACATTTTATCAGCCTGCCTGAAAATGAGCAGGTATAAGACAAAGCAAACATTTTTCAGCAAATTGTTAAGCTATACAGCCATGTCTGCAAATATAATGTCACTTAGTAGGTGACCATTTTTAGACATGTATTACATTCCATCAATGTCTGTCAGGATTCACAGCCACAAGCCTGCTAGACTAAAATGAAAACCTGTGGAATGCTGAATGAAAGTTTTATTACATGTTCATGTATTTTGTTCGCTTTTTACAAATTACCTGCAGTGTTATGTTTTTGTTTTTTTTGAAATCCTATTCATTTTTCTTTTTAAAGAATCCTGCTTTAGATTATTGATTGCTAGCTGTTGAGTTGGTCCTTGTGCTGCAAATTTGTCCTGACATTTTAATGTCTATTTTCCAACTGCAGTGTGATTTTTAACTTTTTATATTTTTTAGCAATTGCTCTTTTTATTTGATTTTGAATGTAAACTTACATGTATCTGGACAATTATAAATATTTCCATCTGTCCTAACCCCCCCCCAATCTGTATGAGTTTTTAATCTATTTTTCAAAGGATCTTATTGAGGAGCAAAGTAATGTTTTAACAGCATGAAATTGTGAGAATGACAATCCCTCCAGCCAATGTCAAATTGCCCCCCCCCCCAGTTTATTTTTAGACATCTAAAGTATAGTGTTGGGACTGCAAAAGGCTCTTTAACTTTGAATTTTTTTTTTTTTTTTGTCTATTATTGTGTACCTCATTTAATACCTATACGTACATTATTTTGCTGATTTTCATTCATGTGTTCAGCTTAGAAATTGTCTTGATAAATGTGACAATGTTGTTTTTTTTGGCCCGTTCATCTACAAATGTGCTTAGTGTTTCTCAGACTTGAAAATAAGATTAAAAGAAGAAAGAGACTTGTTTTATTTCCCTTTGAGCCCCTACTATCAAGTTGCTGTAGCCACTTTTCTCAATATTATTGCCCTTCTTCGCAAAATAAACTGTTAGCAAAACAGCAAATATATTAGTTATAGGTAAAAAATCTTTGTTGGCCTGTAATTTGTTTTCCCACAGTGGCTTTGCAAAATAACCTGTTGAAATAGTTAACCGTGCACACTGTCCACTAGTTATGTGAGATTCAACACTTGAATACTATGAATGCGAGACTGGTTTATTAAGGTTAGACCTAGTCAAGAATCTCAACACTGTCTTTAGGAAGACCATTGTTCTGGTTTATGCCACATTGCAGAAATCAAACTATTGAATTAGTTCACCATTTCCTTCACAGACTTTTGTAGGTGTGCTGGCTGTTAGATGGTCTGATCTTTATAACTGAATAACAAAGTACTTAAACTTCGGTATGTGTGAGTTCCTGGCAAATGCTCCTTTTGTTTACATCAAAAATTACACCTGTCAGAAATGCCAGAGGAACTCTGCAGATCTTTGCAGTGACTAAAGGTTTTTGCTCCCTGTTTGCTATTCTGGTCCAACATCTTCATTTAACCATCTGAAACAGTTTGTTGTTGCTGATTGTTTTCTTGCTTCCAAAACATTTAAGGAGGAGGTGAGAAAACGGAGCTCTCTTGCTTTGTTAATGACTCAGTAGTGACTTATTTCCCTGTCTCTGTGCAGAGATGTGGTCTTAATGATGCTGGCCATACAACATGAATGATATGTCTACTCATTAGACTGATTAAAACTATACTTATAAGCTGCACCATTGGCTGCTTGGCGCTATCACTGTAGGGGAAAACTTTATATCCATGGCAAAGCCTGGGCTATTCCGGAGGAAAAAAACTGTCCAGCATTCTCATGAGCACAAACTGTAATGGATGCTTATGTAAACTTATGCAAAAAATTCTGAACTTCAGTCTATTATGAGTAATTTGATTTACAAGAAGGGGTCTCTATATAGATGCAGATTTTGCATTAATATTCAATACCATTAATATTGGTGTTAATTTTGCAACTGTAAACATATGTTATGGGAGGAAGTTGTTAATGAAATAGTTTGTATAAACAAAATGGCTGAAGAAAATGGTGCAAAAATACACAATAGAAATGCCTACAAATCATATTACTACTTAAGATATAAGCTGAAATGTTCATTCATTCTTGATCTTTCAGGAATAACTCATGTTAAATGACATGGTGTAACAAGCAGATTCAGGCAAGTTACCATTACTTGTACAATTACTACTACATGTACACATTCATGTTTACAGCTTATTTGACAGTTTTTCAAATAGCCACTGGGGAGCAGGGGAATTTAACAAAAAAGGCCTGACTGGATATGACTCAGAGTAGCTACTCTCCTTAATAAGGCAGTGTAATTTTGGCAAGAAAAGACACGGACACTCTGATTTCTAATATGCCAAAAAGAAAAGAAAAAGCATATAAAAGTTAACCTCAATTCAAATACAATATATCATTGTAACTCTTACTACACACACAAAAGTGCATTAATTAATGGAAGTCTTGTTATACAAAACAGACCATTTGTACAAGCGTTCATAGTGTCATTCTTTAATATTTACAATCATACCATTGCCATGATTACATACATGTAGTGATTACTTCTTGAAACACTGGCCTCTTGTAGCATGCAGTATAGGCTACACAAGATGGTTGATTTAGTGTTTCATTTATATGTGCTTCCTTTATTTCACACAGACATGTCAGTTACAGGTGAGAGATAGACATAAAAAAAAATCATAATAACACAGGGGTCCATTTAATGGAGGAGGAAAGTCAACTAAATCTGTCATTACAGAGGGTTTTCCCCAAGTGAGAAATGCAGATGGAAAGACAAATGAATTACAGATCAATTATCGGGGATAGACAATTTATTGAGAAAGCACAGGTGAAACACTTTCTGTTTTACTTCATGTTAGCTGGTGTTGTGTTCCTCAAGGAGCCACACAGAAAAAGTTTTGAACTACCAAGCAAATGAATGCAAATACTGGAAAATCCATGATAAAGGTGCTTGTCAGCTATAACAAGTATTGTGATTGTAATATACAGTACACTTTCTGATTATGTTAAATGATAACTATACACAGAGGCATATATTACTCTTGCAAACTATATAACTTTTATAATATTTGTATTTTGTGCAAAATTCACCAAGACTTACAACAATACGTTTTGGCAGAAGGAAAAGTTACTATTTGACTGGATGTGAGCTCTGGGGAGAGGCAAAAAGAGAGAGCTGCTTTCAGTGCTACAAGTTACAAGGCCTATGTACAATGATGTTTGGCAAAGAGGAGACAGCTCAAATGCACCGATTAGAAAAATAATTTGCAGAACAAATTATGTAGAAAAGAAAATCAAAAATAAATTAAGTCCTTTGAAAAAATAAAACAGCAAATAACTTTGTTTGTTTGTTTGATGTCAGGAAGTCATTCAGTCGGCTACTACATGGCATGACCTTCTGCTGTATTAGTATATGCTCCAGTGTTGAAATCCTTGATTCATTAAGTAGATTATATAGTGAAGTAACATGGACACCAAATCCATATATATATATATATATATATATATATATATATATATATATATATATATATATATATATATATATATACCTAAATATGCATATATACAACTAGAATACACAAAAGTACAAGAGCTAGTGGGGGTTTGTTTTGGTTAATAGAAGAAAAAGGCCGGCTAGAAGAGACTGAACTTAATGTTGAAGTGGCGCTGGTTCGGATGTATTCAAAAACCTTGTGGTTCTATTATATGTTGTGCTTCTTGATGTCTTTGGGTACCAAAACAAAAAAAAACACTTGCATATAGGTCGACTCATCTTATGACTGAAACAAATTATCTATATACATGTGCTGGGATCTTGTCAGAGTGGTAAGGTGCAGAATTAGAACATGAAACCATTTCTTTTGCACACTCCTGTCTGCATGTTCTGTTGTGTTTACCGATGAGAAATTGAAGGCAGTGACGACAGGGTCGTTTTTCTTTTTTGGAGCACACAGACATGCAACAGTGTTCGAGGGAAAGGCCTGAGCGTTGTTCAATCACAAAGCATCATCTTCTCACCACGTAGTTGACTTCTGCTTCTGTATCTTGCTTTGTTTGCTGGTTGTCGGGAGTGTTGCCCATCCGCACTGCCCTCCCAAAACTGCAGTTTTATCACCAACTTCACACTGGCAGGTTATCTTTTGTTGAGGTCCCACTTGTGAGAAATAGAGTTGAAACAGCTGTTCCAGAAATGAATTTCCAGTTCATTTTTCACAAGGGGATTTGGTTAAAAACACATTTTGAGAGTTTAAGGTAGACAGATAGTTCTGGATGTTTTCTTTCTTTTTTAACATTTATCAACAGAATATTTGGGGAATTAATGTCACTTCCTGCAATAATTTTTGGGGTAACTAGCTTATTTTGTCTTTAAAAACCATTTTAATTATAGTTGAATTTTAGGGGGTTTGGGTTGTTTTTCATGTAAACATTTTTTTCTTCAGATTTCTTTGTCTGAATATTAGATCTTCTAAAATACATGAGTGCACAAAATGAGAAATAAATTAATTTGTGGAACCTGGGGCCACTGTAAAGTGTGCAGGCACATTACAGCTCTGTGTCCACAAGCGGTATGTGACGTTAACTTGTCTAAGCAAGAGTTGTGTCGGCGATGTCTTCCCTTAGTCTACTGCAGATATCTGTAAACCTTAAAGCAGTGGTTGCCAGAGTCTGCAACAGCCACATGTCCATCTGAGGTGAGGGCGAGGCCCTGGGGGCCGTACAGCGGGTCTGCTGATGTGTTAATGTAAGATAAAAAGGAGCCTGTGCTGTCAAACACCTGAAATAGAAAAACACAAGGGTTAGAGTTTTTAGTGTTCATTTTGCACCAAAATACTTGAAGCTGCAGGTTTTAAGTCACAGTGACTTGACTGGGCAGTTTACTGTGCTGTGCTTTTTATTTTAAAAATGGATCTTTTTCCATAGCTTTTCATTACTTCATGTACGTTTAAATATGACCTCACCGTTTTTCATTTCCTGAACAGCTAAAGTGAAGAAAATAAGTTTCAAGTCTTGATAGCTGACTGTATACCGCCTGTCTCACCTGTATTCTGCTGTTACCCCAGTCAGCTACAATGATGTTTCCATTGGCATCCACAGCCACACCAGTAGGAGCATTAAACTGGCCATTGCCTTCACCATGAGAGCCAAACTTGAACAAGAACTCGCCATCTGCACTGTACACCTGGGACAGGAAGTCAGTAAAAACACACATTTTGTCTACATCTCCATGTGCATTTTGACATATAATCGCTGTGAACTATATAGAAAATGTGCTTGTACCTAAATGAAATAACACTATATTTGTACATTATGCTTGTGGCAACTTCTATGATAATTCAGAACAAATTGTGTCTTACCTTCACAGAGTGATTGTGAAAATCGGTCACAATAATTTCATTCTTGTTGTTCACTGCAACAAAGTGCGGACCTAGGTAAGGAGAGAGAGGCAGGTTTATCGGGGAATTTGCTGTACTTGGAACAGTAACGGATTCTTGTAGTTTGCAAAATTCCCATTGCTGTTAGTAGGCTGTTTAAACAAATTTCAAATTTCAACTAGCTGTGCCTAAAGCTGCAATTACAAAACCTTGTCTAATTAGACTTCTACTATTCTGGTTTTCATGGAGTAGTTTTATGGCATTCTTTTCATGCATTGGATGCTTTAACTTGAGTTACACAGCTGGTTTCTTGTTTTTTCAGAGTGCCTAAACAGTACTAAAACTCAAAGTTAGATTATATGGAAAAGCTCATGGCTCTGAGATTCAATCCCGCTAACATCTGGAACATCGGTTAGTTTCATGGTGCTGGAGTCAGAGCAGTGAAAATCATTCACACTGATCTTTTCACAGCCATTTACACAAAAAAGCACAATACAAAATGACAAAATGTTGTAATAGTAGGTGATTATTACAAAGTGCATGTACTTGGAGAAAGAGTACTCTCCCTCTGTGATTATTATTGTACAGGCACAACATGATCCAGCAATTTGTCAACAATCCGAGTTCTCAGGAGGTCAGACACATAATCAGGGAGTCGGGTTAGACAGAGGGCACTGCACTGTGGGATTAAGGTTGCAGCAAGGCCACACTTAGTACTTACTGAAAATTGAGCCAGATTTATTTAAGTTTGGGCCAAGTTTTTCTGGATTGAAAAACAGGAGGAAGAACAGAAAAATAGGTAGTCAGAGAAAAAAGATAAGCAAAGAAGAAAATAGAGTAGGTGTGGAGGGAGCAGGGCGTCACTGCATCGTCTGGGGCTTTGCTTTAAAGTATATATAAGCTTATATTTTTAAACAATATGTAACATGCGACATAATGCACTGATCTATACTGAGAAATAGAATGAGAGCACAAGCATACATTATTGTTTTTCTCAAATTGGCAGTGAAAGTTTCAATTTAAAATAAGGATTTTAATTGGACATTGATGCCTCAGAAACACACCCCGTCTTCTGCATTGGGCTTAGTGATGAAAATGAATGTTGAGGCTAATGCCTTATTGCCTGCTTTCGAGCCAAGTGCAACGCCACATAGTGATTGTTATTATTATTTTTTAAATTCCTTGCTGTTAGTTTTATTTCCCGTATGTATGTATTAATTATTTATTATTTATTATTATGTAGTGCACGGTTGAAATAGAAGCCTCAACTGTAACTTCTGTTCATGTTGTTTGCTGCCACAAGCTGGCATTTTAAACTGAACCTATGCTATATATATATATATACAGATATATATATCTATATATATAGATATATATATGATATTTTGTGTTGTCATATATAAATAAATACAAACATCATGACAGATGTACTTTAAAAGCCTCACTGACATATATTGATATATTGTTTGTGAGCTCCATGTCAAGTCCTCCTTCTCACCTGCAAACTGTCTGTCAGACGTCCCCCTGCCTCCAAACTTAGTCACCAGCTTCCCATTGGACTGAAAGATGAAGACACAGCAGGCCTTGTTGTCCACAGTGATGATGTGCCCGTTCTTATCCACAGCCACTCCCTTAGGACCCATGAGCCGGCCTGCACCAATCTTATTCTGTGAGGGAGGAAGACAATGAAGACAGGGAGAGAAAGATGTGAATGACTTTGGAATTATTTTTAACAAGCTTCTGCCACTTCTAATATTTTGTTATGTTTCACTGAAGAAAGTAAGAGTATAATCCTGCATGATAAATTGCACAAAGGATTTTCTTTTCCTTCAGAAATCATTCAGTTGGGAAAGACATCATAAATGAATAAACCTTAAATTAGCAACAAACAATGAGACCTCACCTTAAACTTGCCGTCAGATGAGAAGATGCTGACCCATCGATTGTCGTAGTCGGCCACCACAATGTCACCATTCATGTCCACAGTGACACCTGTCGGTCTCTGTAACTGCCCCGGAGACCGACCTCTGACCCCAAAGCGCATCTTAAACTGGCCATCATTGGAGAATACCTGCAATCAGTTCCATCAAAGAGACCTTTTTGAGTGAAATTATGATCACAGCACTACAACAGTATTTTCCAACATGGCATACATGGTTGCACTTACATGCATTTTCCTCTCTGTGTCTGTCTCACCTGTATGCACTGGTTGTTGCTGTCAGCCACCACCACTCTGCCATTACAAGAGGCTGAGATTCCCTGTAGATTTGTGAACTCCCCCTTTTCTCTGCCCCGGGTACCTGACAAATAAATAATTACACACTCAGTAAAAGTGCCATTTGGTTATTTTCACCCCTGTCTCAGTGTGTGATACTTTTCCTTAAAGGCTGGTTTTGGACTAAAATGTGTGCATTGATGCTGATCATTTCATTCTGTTGTCTGGTACAAAGTGAAAACTGTAGCTGCTGCTAAGAGGGAAGGATGTCAATCTAAAAACTTGGTGTATGTGATAAGTATTCCTGATTCATAGTTAGAGGGATAAAAAAAATGCAAAAAAAATAGGCTGTCTTTATGGAGAACATTTTCCCTGCTATGATGTTGGTCTGTACAGTTTCTTTCCTGGACGGGTCATCTTTCTTACCAACTCTGTAGATGAGCTCATCCTCGATGGGGTTCTCCTTTTTCTTGGTGGTGCTGTACATGCTGGAAGGCCGTCGTACCGCCTTCTGCCGTATGTGGCCCCCTGTCCCGCTGGGAGACTTCACCCTCCTCTTCACGTCATCTGGAGATTGTGGCACATCTGAGGGCTTGACCGCCCGTAGGCGGAAGGGGCTGCCACGTATCGGCTGGCCGTAGAGCAACAGAGAGAAAGAGTACTCTCCCTCAGAGCGTAATGTGTAGCCCACCTCATATGTCCCATTTTTATTGTCCGCTATCTCTGTCTCTGCAGCGCGGCTCCCGTCCGCAGACACTATCTCTGCTTTTAAAACAGCATTTCCTGTCCGGACCAACTCTCCATCCTGCAGATAGAGGTCTCTGATTCAATTTCAGAACAAAAAAATCTCTTGTTGCTCAAGCAATAGGCACATGGTTGCAGCCTCTAAGGCAACACCACAAGCTCCCAACAGATTTGTTTTTGAGAATAATAATCCTTAATTAATTGCCTTGGTGACCACAGTGGCCACCATTAAATAACTGCTTATTGCAAGAGAACAACAAGAGCATGAACCATGAATTTGAAAGAAACTGAAATATGTGACTGAAGCAAATACACACATTAGTCAAAAGATTAAAGCTACAACAAAATGTTCCAGGGTCACTCTGCACATGCAGCAAATGGCAGTGAGACTAAATCATTTAAAGACAGTACCTTGTCTTTTGTTGTCACAGTAATCGTGTGGTGCTGCCCAGTTGCTGCGTGGCGGAGGCCCTCTCCCGTGGCGACGGAGGTGTGAGCCACAGCGGCTGTGGTGATGAGAACACCCAGGTTCTGGATGGAGCGGCGCAGACCTTCAGTCTCCACCTGGAGCGGACACCACACAGGATATACAGTATTTTGTGCTGCACAATCCCTAAATTGCTCTCTAAAGTTTAATTTCCATGGTTGGTTCCATGTGATGTATATACAGTAGTAGTAGGCAGGCAACCACAAAATAACCCACATTTTTACAAAAGCATATGAAACACAAACATTAGATTTGAACATGAGATTATTAGTGACAACAAGCCAAAACCCAATAGGGGGTACAAAGTGAATAAGAAAATATGTAGAAAAAAACCTGTGGAACACATGCTTCATTTTTCATTTGAAATAATCATGTGGGAATATCAGTCAGACCACCATATTGAAAACCCAGAGCAGAGAAATAGTTAGAATCAGAATAAACAGCTGATACCTGACAATCCAGGTGCGCATTCTGGTGTGGTCTCTCTGGGAAGTCATGTCTGGCCAGCGCTGTTACCCGCTCACTCATCTGCTTCTGAACTAGCAGCACCTACACTTGCAAGAGACACATATTATATTCAAAGTCTTTTTTCCCCCCTGTTTGTGTTTTTTCAGATGAAAATATTTAATTATTTGCAAGGGCTCACATACTGCTACATTAGTGCAACACACTTAATAGCTAATTCCCATATGTGCTGTAACCTGTTTATTAGCTTGCTTGTACAAATTACAATTTGCCAGCCCACCTCGGTAGCACTCCCATGGCTGAGAGCCTGCTCCGTAAAGCTGCAACTGCTCTGGATGTGTTCTTTCCCCTGGAGGAGAGATGAAAGCTGGGCCTGCAGGACCTGCGCTCAGGTAAGTGGAAGATATGGGAAAAAGGGACACAAAAGAGCAAGAGGAGGATGGAAGTCAGCAGGCTGAAGGGTGTTAACAGGAATGTGAGGCACGTGTCAGGTCATGTTTCGACTACTTGTTTGTAAAATACCTGTATGTGTTGCCGCATCTGACATTGAACGTGCAATGAAGTAAGTGCACCTGCGTGAGTGCATGCACTGTATATAGTATGTAAATGTGTGAAACATAACTAACCTTCTGCTTAGTGCTGCAGATGTTCTCCAGGTCTGTAATGAGGGCTGTCTTGCGCTGATGCAGTGCCCGCTCCAGCTCCTCAAACGTACTGGTAATCTCTGCGACCGCCTCAGTCTTCCTTTCATTCAGCTGGCGAGAGATCTCACTCACCAGCTCGATGGCTGCTGTCAGCTGAGGGAGCCTGCAAGATCACACAATAGGAAAACTGAAACTAAAAAGAAGCAGCAAGAGTTTAAACTGAAAAAAAATAAAAAACACAACTATGGTCAATCCTAAATAATATTTAAATACAAAATATGATTAGCCTAACTAGCTATAAAGCTACAAAAACAAAATAATTCTTCATAAGTGATCTTTCATGGCAGATGCCAAATCTGGGCCAAATGCTTAAGCTTCCAACCACTGATGTCAAGGTAATATTCTGAAAGCTTTGTCAAAGTATCAAGTCCCCACCTGCTTTGTATGGCATCCAGCTGTGTCTTCAGCGCAGCCTTGTGCTGTTCTACAACATCCGGCAGAGGAACAGTCACATGCTCCCGGTGCTCGCCCTCTGTACAGTCCAGACACATGGCTGTCTCACACGACTCGCAGTAGAACTCCATCACCTGCAGAGGGCGACAAGCCGAGTAAAAAAACATTATTTTCTCTTGCTGGGCATTGCAGGTAAGTAAGGATTCAGTTTCTTTTACATTAAATATTGCTAAAAACGAAAGAGGTAGGGTGGTTTCAGTGAGGTGATGACTGGGCTGAGGAATCACAAAAGGGATTCCCACCTTTCCCTCATGGTTTGGGCAGCAGAGGGGCTTCCCTGCAGCTGCAGCGCTGACTGACTCAAGGACACTGCAGGCCTCTGGCCGCGAGCACTCTGGGTCTCGTTGAAGAACCTGGTGAAAAACATTTTAAACGTTATCATGCTGTTTTTCAATGAGCAAGTGTCAACAGATTTGTCAAATTATCATCTGTTTTCTTGTCTAACGGTTGACATGGATTTATTTCTTCTTCTTTTTAGAAGAATTGTTTGGGGGATGTTTACTTTAATTAGACCGTGGACAATTAAGACATGACAGGAAACAAAAGAGAGAGAGAGGGATTCACATGGAACAAAGATCCCCAGCCAAAATCAAATTAAACTGAGTAGATCGCAAAATTGTTTAAATTTCCTTGTTCATTCTATTCAGGACAGGAACACCCATTCTTATTCACTTCTATACTTTTGTGGAACCTCCATTTAGTGCATTCATTCCCTATGTTCACAATGTTATCCTTAATTATAACCCCTACATGCCTGATGGAAACCTTATAACCTTGAATTTAAAGCCAATCCTAAAAAGAGCCCCTTGATGAAGAAAGGGCCGTCGAGAATTACCTCACTCTACAAAAATGTCCTCCCTCTGTTTAACACCAAAAGTGGTTCTCACAAAGGCAGCAGCAGAGTAACACACACCCACCCTCTGTCCAATTTCTTTGAGTATACAATGAATAATTGTTTTAAAGAAATCTTTGCTTTGTTGTTACCCTCATAATTGGTTTCATCTGTGTTTTGTCTTGTGTTTCATGTGAGTGCAGGTACTTGAAAATCCTGTTTGGCTAACAAATTTGTGCCTGACTTGAAGTAAAAAAAAGGGATTAGGCAAACCTCCATGAGATTAGTGATGAAGAAGTTGTTCTGTAGAGCACAAACTCCTTTCTCTGGCAGGATAGATGTCTGCCGACACACTGGACACGACAGGGTCAGAGACTCTGGGGGAATGTAGTTCTGGAGACAACTGGAGGGAGGGAGTCAACAAATAGAGAAAGCATGAATTAGAGTATGCAATCTAACAGCAATTATTTCGCATTGTTCTGTGTGTAAATATTAGTCATATTCAATTTACCAATACAGCAGAGAGTGAAGAAGAGGAACACACCAGAGAGAGAGCTGTCACATTATCACTGTAATTGAGTGACAGTGCCGAAATAGTGCTCCTGTCACAACAAATAGGGGAAAAGTGTGAATCCAAGTCAATATGCAGAACCCACAGCCTCAGGAGAAAACACGCACACTTTCGCTTTGAGTGAGTGAATCTCTGGCAAACCAATCTGCCTGACAGAGACACAAAGAGACAGAAGACTTTAGGCAAAATAGATGTTAGCGTGGAACATGTTTTTTTATGCTTCTGCATGTTTATGTGTGCAAGTAAGGAGGTTTTGCATTGTGATCTAGCCCGCCTCCTGGCAGCCGTCACACTTCTACCCCACTGGCCCTTAAAGGCTGAGGATGTTATGCAGGTTCAAATAGCCTTACATTAGACACCTTCAAGCCAAAACCAAACCCACAGTCGGCTGTAATATGCAAATTAAACCACACTTCAAGGCCCTGTTTCTGAAAGCAAGTTTAACAATCATTAACGGTGCCTAATGGTGAACTCTGAGTTGACGAACCTGACGGGAAGATCACCACAGCTAATGAGTACTCAACTCATAAAATCATAGTCAGGTAAATCACCAATACTTATTTCTGTGATTTGCAGTTGAAAATGTGTCTAGTTCAGAAAGTAATTAAAGTAAATTTTGAGACGTCAGTTTTACATTTTAATCAACAGCATTTAAGGACAAGCTATATTTCAACGTGCAAATATCACACGCAATATGACTATATGCAGCCTACATTCTATACTGTAGCCTGTGTTTGATTATTATTGTCTTATTGTATAATTGTATAAGTAAGGATATTCTGATTCTGATTCTGACATTCAAAAACTCACTTCATTCATCAGTGTCATTATGTGTCTAAAGCTTAATACAGGTTTGTTTTATTTAAACAGCGATTATTTCAGTATTGCAAGTATTGCTACAATGTTCCAGTGCAAGGGAACTGACAACCTGATACCTGCCTTAATGTCACAGCATTATAAAGCGGTCATGTTAAAGATAGTCCTTGGGTAACAAACTTGCCTTTCTAAAGACGTAAACTTCTGCAAATGAATGAGTTCTGATGTGTGCTTTGATATCGACTATATGAATGAAGAAATGTGTCAGACACCTCCTTCAGGCTCAGCAGTCAGAGAGAAACTCAAGAGATTGTTGAAGAAAAGCTGACAGCGAGCAGGTTAGGTTACCTCTCTTTCTGGCTACCATCCAGCATGTGATGCACGATTGTTTTTGTGTTATCGCTAAATTGATGGTTAATGCTGCAAGAAACCTGAGGTCAGTCTCTGTTGCTGTACACAAGGATGTCTAGCAGCGGTTTGGGCTGCATGTTTCATTTATGATACCACACTGCGTTGTAACCAAACCTTGATAAACTGCAGTTGTGAGCTTCTGAGAACAACAGAGGGCTTCAACAAAAGTCTCTCTCTACCTACCGCTCTGTCAACACCACTGTAATGCTGTGAGGCCTGAATACATTACTGTTGGATTGTCAGACACACAACCAGCTGGGGACCACAGGACCACTCAAACAGTTGAGTGATATGACATATCAGAAGAAGAGAAAAAGGGGAACAAAATTTTAAATTTAAAAGGTACCATACTAAACAGACTAAACCCAGCATGGGGTTGCCAGCTCAGTCTTAAAACCCCTAAAACTACATCAACCCATCCAGTATTAAAACATCTGTCTGGCAACATCACGTATAGCTCCAGACAAAAATCTGTTCACCTCAGCAGGGCTCCACATCACATGCCATCCAGTTAAACCGGGGATTAAACTTGCCCTCCGGTGGGCAAATGCCCCTCGCACTGCATGGAAAAAGGATTTACCCCGATACTCTGTGTGGCTATACAAAACTATTCCGTAAATGTTTGTTTGATCATAGGTTTAGAACTAAACCAGTCTGAAAGATAATACTAGCTATCCCCGGTACCTAACAACATATCTCCCTCTTCATCCTCCCACCCTGACCCACAACAAGCTTTCCAAAAGCCTCCTCTGCTTGGCCCGGCACGGAAAGGCCCCAGTAAGTATCGCCTGAGGCATGGTAATTGTGTCTCCCAACAATGAGCCTTTTCTCAGACTGTGTTCGTTGGCGGTCCCTGATGCTGAGGAATGTACTTATCCCAGGGGAGTCGGTGAGGAGAAGTGCTCTGAGCTGTTTAATTGTGGGCAGGGATTTGCAATAGATGAGGTTCCTCTATTAGGGCACATGTAAATATGACAAATAATTCTTCAGTGATAGGATTGGAGAATAAGTACTGGCAGGGAAAGAGCTACAGTAGGTATGTCGAAGAAGCTAAAAAATAGCAGACAGTGTGAGCAGGGGTGAGCAGAAGCAGTTTTGTGTCAGGTTTATCTTGAGGGAAGTGTAGGTAATTAGGACTTTTGCCAGTTGTCATTGATCAATGTTAGTTACCTTTCACAGAAGGTGTGAAGACAGGGCAGGACCTTGGGGTTGCTGTAGTGATCCAGACAGATGCTGCAGACCAGAAATTGCTTGTCTATCTGACGCACCACAGGGCTGGTGCTTCCAGCCTCGCGTTTTGCCATGGCAGAGGACATTTAAAGCCACGGACAATGACAGCAGTTAACCTGCAGAGAGACAGAGATAAATGCATGAAATATTTGCCTATATTTTTCTATAAAAAAGAGAGAGTGTAACTTTCAGGGCTGATAATGCTCAGCAAATTTACCACAGGAGGCACCAGGAACCGAAAGTAACAAAGCTGTTTAATTCCTTGATTAGTACAAAAATGCATCCATTGTTATGATGTTATTTCTAGGTTAATACCAGACAAAGGCCAGCTGAAAGAGAACTGTGTGAAATAGCAGCAGGCACCAGTCCTGAGTGTACAGACAGCAGCAGATGCAGACAAACCAGTATGACCATGTGGTTGGTCTGGTTCAATTAACATCCCAGTTTACACCAAAGCAGGAAACTAAAAGAAAGTAGAGCAGTCTGTGGTTAAAGGTGAGCCCTTCATTACAAAGCCACAAAAATGCATCACAACATTCTCGTCACACAGGTACACAAAAACATACTAAAAATACACACTCTTCATGTACAGGACCTGTGAACTTCACACACACACACACACACACGATAATGTGCTTCACACATTTTGGTCTGTTTACAAATGACCAGTTCTGTTAAGTTGTTTTGTGTATTAAAATAACTGTCTATCAATTTGTGAGTGATAGCAGGTTAAAATCCTGAATTTAAATCTTGGTGACTGGGCGCCTTTTGCTTAAATTTCGAAATTTATGCCTTTAAACACAGAATTCAGTGTATAACAATGTATACTAAATACATAGTAAATACATATACGCTGGAACTGATTTAAACTCCATTGAGAACACATAGTCATTTTTAATAACACACTGAATAAATGACCATACACATCTGTCAGTGACAGGGTGAAATAGTAGCAACACTCTATGAGGTCACCAGAAAAGAGGAGCCCCATGCCTTAAATATTATCATCCATTATGGAAATACAGCTGCAAGGTATGAATAGCAACACCTAGCAACACAAACAAGAGCTGCTTCTAACATGACCCATATTCACATTCATCAGTGCAAGCCCTAACACATACGGCTAAATAATTACAGTGGCATGTTAAAGATGCTACTGCAGTCTGTTCTCATTGCTGTGCACCTAATGTGTAAATGAACCGAGAAGAACATCCAGTCTGAATCACAAAATGTACACATGCCATGTGCAACTTTTTTTAAAAATAAGAGGCAAGAGGCCATGACAACTTGTACTTGCTGGAAAACGTTTCACCTGACTTGGCCTTTGGTTGGAAATTGGCACCTTTGATAAATACTGCCACCCATTTTTATCTCTGTGTTGCAAACTGGGTCCAGCAATGTAGTCTAGAGACACATTTTCTCAGTAGGTATTGTTCATATCAGACACAGACATGCGCTGAAATGCTCATATAAATAGCAAGTGTCTCAAACAAACATGAGTGACCTTAAGATACACAGTAGTTATGAACGTTACACACTCAATGACAAGGACACACACAAACACACTGATAATCATCATCCCCCACCAGACCCCACCCCTCTGTCTGCACATCTGTCACTGCTGGATCTAATACAGCACTCAATCCCCTATGTCCCATCTCTGCTCATGTCCTATTGTCAGTTGTCACTGCTGGAGAGTGAAGTGAGTGAACTGGTGTCTATTTGTTTACTGTTGGTTATATTTTAAGAACACATTTTATTGAGTGGACCACAGTAGAAGAAGAATATGGAGGCTAATGAATCCCAAAAATTATTATTTCTCAAAACATTGGACAAAAAAGTAGCACAAATGCTAAAATTATCTGTTTGGAGTCTGACAGAGGATATAAAAAAAGCTCATACATGTTCCAGCTTTACTGCCATCATGTAAACATAAAATGCATACATGGTGCTTGTGGGAGTCATGCATGCATGCATGCACATGAGTGGGTGGGTACTCATGTGGATGTTTATAGTTACATGCATTCAACAGACTGTGTTTTGACATGGTCCTTAAACTCCTAAGTAGGCCACCGTGCTTAGATGTGATGCTCTAAAGTAACCATGACCAGCTAACTGACAGCCTTGGCAAGTGAGTGAAGACGTGCAGATTCATAATTTGGGCTCTGGAGTTAAAGGCAGCTGGGTGGGATAAAGCAAAGCCCAGACAGAAAGTTTAAAAAAAAAGATTTACGAAGAGGAGACATCCTGCAGAGAGCTGTAAACTAATACCATCAAAATGAAATGTGTTATAATTCTCCTGGCCATTATATGTGCAGCAATAACACCAGCAATGTTGTTGGTGAACTTAGCCCTCTAAATTCCCCAAACTCTCAGGATTACAGCATTTGCATGTGCAACTAATTGTTTGTGTGCGTGTGTGTGTGTGTGTGTGTGTGTGTGTGTGTGCAACATGTTTGTGTGTGACAACAAGCTAACACCCATGAAGCTAACACACAATGAGTCTATTCACTGCTGGCTTTACCGAATACAACAGTAACAGTTTTCTTTGTCTCATTCAGCACTACAACCTCTGCTGCTGCTTTACTGTAGGATCCTCACAGCTCATGTGTATGTCTTAAAACACACACGTGGAAATGAAGTGGGGGAAAAAAGGGAGGAGGCAAGACAGGAAATTAAACGGCTTCTTCCCAGTTCAACAAGAGGACAGGGAAAAGAGACAAAGAGACAGTTTAACAGGGAAAGGAATGAATACATTAAACGTATCAGTCCGTTTGCTCTCTGCTCACTGTGATGCACCTGTATAGCACCAATGAATATGTGCTGACAGATTAGACAAACACACACTCTTCTCTGGTTAACAGCTGAGCTGATACTGTATAGTAACACACGCACACATGTATGTCCATGAGGACTAACACACTCAGAGTTGACAGAAAGACTACCTACTGTCAGAAGTGTGGAGTAGATCAGTCTGGAAGGCTCCATGGCAGCTCTGTGTTAAGTCAGTATAACACTGAAGAATCAGCACACACCCTGACTCACACATGCACACCCACTCCCCCCTCTCTCGCCTCTTCCCCTCGGCCCTGCTGACCACTCTTCCTTTTCCCTTTTCCTTCTCTGGCTTTTTTCTTTTCCACGAAACACACACACACACACACACACACACACACACACACACACACACACACACTGAAAAAGGCTGAACGGGGATGACAACAGAGGGTGGGAGTGCGAATTTAAAGTCCCTCCTACTGTCAGTGATGTTTACAAGCTAGAGCTGACTGGGAGCCCTCCTACCGCCGCGCTCTGATTGGCTGGGAAACTAGCAGAGAGGAGGGATTGCATCATAGGCCAACAATTCGTGCTGGCCAGAGGGAGTGAACGGTAAAGATTGAAATAGACAAGAAGAAGGCTGTCAAGGCTGGAATGACAACAGTCTTGAATCCAGGAACATAATTTACACACACACTTAATCTGCGGCATAATTATTTAATTTGTGAAATGTTATGCACACTCAAAACAATGATGAGTAGTGCCTAATAATGATCAGAAACAGCAGCTGATCATCTAAACATTTGAATTATCTGGCCTCCAGTTATAGTAATGAAGAACAGCCAAGTACACACACATACACACACACACATGCAGGGCTGCCAGAGTTATATAAATCATGATGTCACCTTTAAAAAAACGTACAATGAGAATTTTCAACATATGCCTCTCCGTCCAGCATTATAGTATCAAATTACACTTAAGAAAGACCCTTAATACTGAAAAGGGGATTATCATTTTGAGTTCCAAGTCAAATATCTTGTCACAGGGTGATTTTGCTGCCAATCCCTTAAATGCCCTGTCCGTATGAAGTGGTCAGAGTTTAATCTGGAGAAAGAGGTGACTATTCTCTGACAATCTCCAGTTAATCTGTGCGGATCGAGTCCAGCCATCTCTCCTCCCTCACTTCCAGCTCCGCTTCCACCCGCACACACCTTTCCAAAATCTCATCATCCTAAACTCACAGGCCAGACTGCTGTGGTGGGTGTAACAGGAAGTAAAGGATAAAGAGGATAAAAATACCACTCAGAGAATGACAATCAGTAGCTCTGTTCATCAAATTTATTGTTGACGTCCCGATACAGACTACTGTGGCACATGTTTTTTTTTTATATATATTGCTGCAGACTCTTAAACACTTAAATACTAAACACTGATTTTATTAGGACCAACTGGTTATGAAACGTTTTTATACTTGTTAACCAAACAAGTCCAACGCTAAGTCAACTTGACAGTAGATCTGATGCTTGTTCTTTCTAAACTAAATCAACTCCCACAAACATATTGCTGCTGGATAGAACAATCTAATAGGATGTCTTGTTTTCATGCTCCACAGAAAGTAATTAGAGAGAGGGTATGTGACATGCCCAATATACCAAATGCAGCACTCCAGCGTGGGCAGCCTTTTGAAAAAGACTGTTGTCATCCCTGCAGTGAGCACTCCACAGCATAATTGGTTTACCGCTGTGCTTTCTGCTGAAACGACAGTTTTATCAGAATATACAACTCCTGCAGTTATTACATGAGATGAAGGCGAACCACCAGTGGCACCCGCAATGAGTCTCTCGAAACTAGTAAACATACCATCATTGGACTACTACTAAATAAAAGAATGATTAATGTTACATTACATAATTTAAGATACTAAAAGGTTTATACCACTACTTCTGAACTATTTTCTGTATACAAATAGTGAATAGGCTCCAGCTAAATAAGGAAGCAACTCACTTGTGCAATATCACCAGCCAAAAGAAACCGTTCTGCCCCAGGGTCAGTAAGAGGTGGAAACAACAACAGTAATAATAGCAAATTATAGTGATGTTCTCCAGGAAATCTAACACACAAAATCCACACCCACTTCAGGCTGGTGTTACATTTTTCACACGACAAATAATGCGACAAGAAAGGTTCTGTAAGAGTGAGTAGGTAGTAACGAGCGTTAAGGGTGCTGCAGTGTTTGCTTGCAGCCAATAAGGTGCCTCCACTCAGCGCTGAACACCTGATGCCTTGATATTTTTTGCTCATTCTTGTGTTTTATGTGCTTTATGTGTCCTCCTGC